GAGCTTGTGCAATATTTGTGTCAAGCAACATGCATGCTCATATTTAGATAAAACAGATTTGATTAGATGAAAAGTAAAATCAGCACAAAAAAAAGTGGTGCAGATGTGACAGAATGTGTGCTGATTTCCCTAATACATGCAACATAGGCAAAGAATAAAGTTATAGCAGCTTTTGTTAAAGGTCAGGGGTTTAAAGGTAGGACATGGTTATGGGGCTTTGATATCAAAAGGCCTGTTTTTGTCATTTATGTAAACAAGAAGGTCGTACGTCTTGTTCTGATATGTGTATCTGTTGACACATTTTAGTGACAGTGCCATAAGGAAATATATTTTTTGGTGTCTACTGTATTGCTTATACAAATATGCTTTGGTACCAAAAGCTTTTATACTTTTACTCAGACTGCAATGATTCAATTGCTATAAACTATCATCCACTTCCAGTCATCTCACCTGAGGTACATCCCCACAGCATAGGCACAGAGGAAGGAGTAGTCCATGGCGCCGAGCAGCTGTTTGTAGTTGCTTTTATCTAAGAAGGTCAAGGAAAAAAAAAGCATAGTCAGGCCCTTTCGCTTGCATATGCAAGTACAAATCAGTGTGTACTGACTCCAAGTTCCTTTGCTCTCAGTTTGGAAGGACCGGAAGCATTTTGTCAGTACTCAAAGACCAGTGAGTGAGATTAGTCGATCCAAAAATATGGTGTTTGTGGAACGGGTTCTCCTCTGTCCGTGTTGGATCAAGAGTAGCACTGAGCTCCTGAACACACGGAGCAGAAAGCAGCTGAGATGCCACAGTGGAGACAAGGTTTGCAGGTGAAACATATTACTTGAGGGGACATCACCTACACTCTGTACTGCATGTGCAATAAAACCTCCACCAGTAAGAGCAATGTACCAAAGCGCCCACTAAATGAGCAAAAACTTCATTTCAGCTTTGCCCACACACTCCCATCCACTGCCGGTCCATGTCAACTATCACACTCCTTAGGCTAGTAGCTAACAGCTAAGTGTTTAGATGAATCACCATAATGGCCAGCAGTGGTTCATGCACATGGATCTATAACTGATAATAGATTGAGCTTGTTGCTCTAACAGCTAAATGTTTAGATGTGAGGAGCACAGCAGCTAAGTGGAGTCAGGACCACAGCTCCCAGTGTTACGGGTCTTCCAGTAGAAGAAGCAGAAAAAGATCCTACTCTGTTTATTTGTCAGGATAATGTTGTATAGCTTAGCTTATTTTTCTTCGCTTGTTTCATCAGAAATTCTAACACACTCAAAGGCGAAACGAGACAGTAACAGCTGTATTCACTGCTGTTACTGTCTCGTTTGGATTCTAATCTCACACTCTATTAAATTGCCAACCTATTACAGAGAGAGCAAAGTGAAAAACAGAAATGCATTTTAACAACAATGCAAACTGAACAGCATTAAGTGTGTCCACTCTGGACAGTTGCTGTATATGAAAAGGCGTTTCTGATAAGGTTTTTCTCCTACAGCGATAAAATCATCATAGAAGCGGTTAATGAGCTGTGTAAATAACTGTTAAATTATATACAGGTAATTATATATGTTCAGGTATTTCTATGTCATGTATTCTAAAAATCATTAGTTAATTTAACCTATGTTTCCCACATGATTCTTGTAAAGTGTCACCTGCTCATATGAGAAGGTGTCTTCACATGGGTTTTAGTGCCAGTACAAGTCAAAAGTGTTACATTTAAAATATATGAATTTATTCTTTTAAGCAATATTTATAAACCAGTGCACAAAACATTGAGGCAGCAGCTTGTCAGTTTAGCCAGTGCTGAGCACAGCTGACTTTTTCATTAAGAAATAATTCTGTTAAAGTTCACTCCATGGCTAATTTGATGCTGGATTCATGTTGGACACAGTGTTATGAAACTCCAACTCTATTTTCAAATTGTAAAGTCAATGAGTAAACTGTACACTTTGCAAAATGATGCATTCGTGTAGCACAGTGCACCCTGGTCTCTGTGAGGTCTACGTAGGCTACGTCTTACATTTTAAAATTCTTTAGTACTAATTTTTAAGACAGTTTGCCCATGTTTGCTCTCTGTGTATTATGCAAACAATATTTTAACTGCCCCCCTAAATTTTTTCATGGGCACTTGTGCCCATAAAAATAAATGTCAGCACTGAGCCCTTTTAGTTAAGGAGAGTGCATCAGGTTTAGCTTGTCTTGCCATTTTCAACGCTGCACAAAACATGTTGTAAAAGCAGCAATGTACTGCTACTTGCTTTGCACATGACATCTTATTATTATTTAACTGTGCAATTCATGTTAGTATCTGATTTTAAAATGCTTAACAAACTAGTAGCATATTAGAAGGGCAGTGTTTCAACAGCAGAATATCATGTTGACTTAACAATACAAAGATGGCTTCATTATATCCAGTACAACCAAACTTCTAACTTCCCTCAGAGAAATCTACCAATAAGTCTGAAATGTCAAAAACAGATACAGACCAAAAGGCTTCCAGCTACAGTCCATGTCTGTGTGGAGAGATGGCAGGGCGGGCTGCTGGCTGCCACTGCCGCCGGAGGCAAAGGTGGCTAGCTCACCGACAGATGAGCAGTTCTTATGGAGTTCGCTCTGTCAATACAAGACGAGTGCATCATTCAACTACACCACATGCAACAGGCACACACTGTGACCTAAATAAATACTGAATGTAGCTGAGATATAAACGTTCCCACCAAAACAGTGTTTGTCCTTTGTAGGCTACGTACAGGTGTGACTGGTTTCTATGAAATAAAAAACAGCAAAAGCCATTTAATGGCTACAGTATGTTCACACTACACACAGGTAAATGCTCTAGGTTTTCATGTTTGTCAGATCTTCTTGTGTTGATTGTTCATTCATGTTAATAAGTGGCATGTAGCCAGCTCCGGTGTGAATGCTGTTGTGCTAAACGTCCACGCATGCACAGGCGTGAGCAACGTGGGTAGAGGGATAGCAACACTAACATCATTTGTAATGAATGTCAAATTGTTTTACTTCCTCAGAAACTGCTTGGTTATGATATGTCCCTTCCAGTTTGGCTTGAAACGAAGCGTCTCCATAAATGTCCATCAAATGTGAAACGTACTCATCTCTCTACTGAGCCCTGTCGCTGCTGCTGCACTTCTTCATGGTCATTTGTACTGACACTGAATGATAATGGCAGGCGATATGTACAGTACAACAGCACTCTGAAATGTCCTCTTGGAAGATTAAAACATGGTCTCAGATGTGAAATAATGCAACCGCAATTACAAAAAAGTGTGGACGCTGTGTAAATAAAAACGGAATAATTTAGAAATCTTTTTAAACCTGTATGCAACTGAAAATAGTAGAAAGACATATCAAATGTCGAAACTGACATTTTATTGTTCTTTGAAAAATATATACGTATTTTTTTATTTGATACCAGTAACACATTTGAAAAAAAGTTGGGAGGGGGATGTTTACAACTGTGTTGCATCACCTCTTCTTTTAACAATACACTGTCAGCATTTGTTTTAGTTTTGAAAGCAAAACGTTTTCCCATTTCTTCTTGCTACAGGGTTTCAGCTGCTCAACAGTTCAGGGCCTTTCTCACTTTATAATGCACCACATGCTTTCAGTGGGTGACAGGTCTGGACAGAATTATGCTTTTAATCAACATGCACAGTGTGGTTTCCCACCGTCTTGCTGAAATAAACAATGCCTTCCCTGAAAAAGACGTCATCTGGATGGCAGCATATGTTGCTCCAAACCCGTACGTATATATTGTTCAGCATTAATGGTGTCTTCACACATGTGCAAGTGACTCGTGGACCCCCACCCCATCACGGATGCTGGCTTTTGAACTGTGCACTGATAACAAGTGGGATGCCCATCTCGTCTTTAGCCTGGAGGATGCAACGTCAATGATTTCCAAAAAAAAAAAGTCAAATTTTTGCTCGTCATACCACAGGATAGTTTTCCACTTTGTCTCAATCCATCTTAAAGAGCTCAACACCAGAGAAGAAGATGGGATGTCTGGATGTTTATTATGATTTTCCTTTGCATGGTGACACTAACTTGCAGCAACAAACCACATTCAATGACAGTGATCTTCAGAGTTGTTCCTGAGCTCATGCAGTGATTGAACTACAAAATCGTATCTGATTTTAATGCATTATCATCTAAGGGCCCCAAGATCAGGTTCCATTCAATAATGGTTTTCAGCCTTGTTTCCTGCAGAGATTTCTCCAGATTCTCTGAATCTTTTAATTATATTATGTATCATAAATGATGAAAACCCCATAATCTTCACAATTTTACATTGACAAATGATGTTAGGTTGCTGATGCCAGTTTGTTTCTGTTTGTGGTCTTAATGTTTTTCCTTCATATATTTTCCAAAAACTGTTCTTACATTCTCTTGCGCTGTATGCCTAGTATAGTACTACTCAATATACACATAGCACCCTGTCCATGAGCCAAGGGTATCAGCTCCACCTTGTCTAAGGCTTGTAACACAGGGTAACTCATGCATGATTACTGGTAACATGTAGAGATACAATCATACACAACACTGAGCTGCACTGAGCAACCTTTGTTTCGTCAGAATCTGTGTAGACAGCTCTAGTTAAACAGAAGAGAGACCTCCCTGGACACATTTTAAGTCTAGTCCTTAAATAAGAGAATCCTGAATTTAGACTGGGCTTTATTGGTGTCTAGGAAACTGGCTGAAGATGCGTTACTGTATGGGTAAATGTAGCTGTTTGTGAGCTCATGAATGTAATCTACAGGTTATGCTAGAACAACGCACATTACCTTAACGATGCTGATAGGTTTTCTGGAGAGGTGGAAACTGGTGTAAAGCAGGAAGGTGAGGATGAAGGTGAAAGCTCTGTACCTGCAGAGGGGAAACAAGAGGTCAGCACTGACAATAGAGCCACAGGTCAAATCCAACCACCACTTCTGGACTGAACTGAATAAAACCAGTACATACCATTGCAGAGTAAATTAAGTGGGTGACAGAATCTAATTTACACTTGCGATTTTTATACAAACTTGCTTATCTTTTTCACTGCCAACCAGATAATGCACAACAGTCAAAGAAATAAGATTTGGGTATATGTACGTAACATAACAAACACAAAAAGGACAGGGACTGTCATTAGGACTTTCCAGCTCCTGTTATGTAACAAGCAAATATTTAAAAACTGGAGAAGAATGACTGTGACGCACTCTACAACTGATTTGAGTGCACACACGGACACACTTCATGTCAGACAGCAGTGCAATCAAACAAAAGTGTTGTGAAATATTTAAGCACACAAAAGGTGAGCTATTAGACAAGTGGCTGAGGTCTGAATGACACAATGGGACTGTTATGCTACAGTCGGGCTGTAAAAGGTTGTACAGTCTCTCGTAAAAGAGATACTGACTACATAAGCTGATAAAGGTTAGGAGGTCTGCACTGCAGACACACCTCAGAAACCACAAAATTGAAATCTGTAATCCTTTAATCTGAATGTTGCAGTGACACACCCTTCTACAGTTTCATACATACAGGATGTCCTGTAACCTGAATGTGTACTTTAATATACAAATCATTCTGTTTTGTTTCTCCTGCTGGGAATGTAGGTGGTCACCTGTAATGCAAGGCCTTTTTTGAGGGAGGTGAATTCAGTGCTGTAACACTTGTCAACACCTGAGAATGCCCTAGAACTGGGAGTGTCAGACGTCAGATCACAATGGTAGATCTGTGACATTCTATCCTTTACAGAGAACATGAACATCCGGTTGATGCAGTTTATCAGGCATTTGACACTGCCATGTCACAAATGCAGAATTCGGGGCCGCTGGCAAATGTTGTATAGTGAGAGAGATCACGGAGTGACATACACATAAAGCCTGACACACAGATAAGGGGATGCACTGTATAGATACACAATACTTTGGTCAAAGACGAAGGCAAAGACCTGTTGGAGTAAACAATGTAGGGTGCAGGGCAGAAAAAAAAGCTGCTGGCAAACAGTCTCTTTGATTACATATGTATTTTGCATCTCCAGTTTCCCTGCAACCACAGAAGGCCACAGGAGATTAGGCTGGGTTCATAAAATAATAACTATGTGCACCGTAAAACAACAAATCTCACAAAAAAAGTCATACCACTGAAAATCACTATGCATTGTAAACTAATATGGCCGAGTTATTTTTGCCTACAAATTTTAACTACAGTGGGTTAATCAATAATATTTTATTCTTAGCACTTTAATCTAACTACTGCTTTTGCCACTAGTGTTTAATGCTGTGTCGTCCCTGGTAGGCTAGTGGTTAAGGCCCCGGGTTCAAATCAGGGTTGCATCAGGAAGGGCATCCGGCTTAAAACACGTGCCAAATGTCAACATGCGAGTCGTCAGTATGACTAGTCGCTGTGGCGACCCCTAAAAACGGGAAAAGCCAAAAGTGACTTTCTTTCTTTCTTGTTTAATGCTGATGTCAAGCCTGAGCTTCAATAAAAATGACAAAACATACTTTTCCATACCTTAGTTTAACAAATATGACCATGCTTTTCCATTTAGAGCTGTACTAATCAATATTCTGTAACAGTAGAAAAAAGGTTTCTCTTGTAGTGACAGCTCTGAGGTTCTCTTTACTGCTGCAGAGTGTTTTGGCCTCCATCGGTTTAAAGTTTTTCTTTCATAGCCAAACCATTACTTAATTACTCTTCTCAGTCTTGTTTCCAGTCTCATCAGGCAGCTGACTAACTAACCCACTGTACACGCCATTAACCTTTTTCCTTATCTGATTCGATTGTGTAAGTACAGAGGGGATCAGATGCTGTACTGACTGACTGACCCCTTGAGATAAACTTGTGATATTGGCTATAGAAATTAAAAATGACTTGACCTGATATTCCCATCAGTTTCACAATGATGGGCAATCAGAAATTTAAACTCAAAATGAAAACTTTCCAATAGCGTGAAGATTTAACAGTCCGCTGAAATCCAGAGGAAAGAGCATGTAAAGAGACAACTCCCACTCACATACACACGCATATACACCAGTCAGACTCACCACTGGTCCCTGTCAAAGGAAACCAGCAGGCGGATCCCAGGAGGAACAGGGGCCATGTCTGGAACGGGTAGTGACGGTCAGAGCGACGAGCAGCTGCTGTGAGCTCACACTGAAGAGGCTGATGGGGTACAAGCAGACATGGGGGCTCTGTCTCAGCTCATGTCAAATGCAGAAGCAGCTGTTGCCAGAAAGAAGACACATGGTTGACACATGGAACGCTGAAGCTGGATGGAAAAGTCAGGAGCCTGCAAAGATGACGAGTTGGAGGGGGGTGAAAAATAAGTAGGGGACAAGAGAAAAGGAAATGATATCACAAGAGACAGGTTACAGTGTTTCCACTATGTATATTTTGCAGACTTTGCAAAATCTGAATTTCACAATAATTTTGCAAAATTATTCCTGTCACTGCTTCAGAATTTTATGAAATAACACTGCATAAGGCTTTTAATTTGAAAGAACAAATACAGGAAGTGGAAACGCGTAGCGACACCTAGCTGAGGGGAGTGGAAGAAGAAAGAGGACGGTAGTTTGAAGAAACTAATGTTAAGACAGATTTGACAGTTTAACCCCAACAACCCATTACTCTTTGTTTCATATTTCACTAAGTAAGACCCCCTTAAATTTTTCACTCTTTGTTATATTGCAGCCATATGCTAAAATCATATGTTCATTTTTTTCCTCATTAATGTACACACAGCACCCCATATTGACAGAAAAACACAGAATTTTTGACATTTTTGCAGATTTATTAAAAAAGAAAAACTGAAATATCACATGGTCATAAGTATTCAGACCCTTTGCTGTGACACTCATATATTTAACTTAGGTGCTGTCCATTTCTTCTGATCATCCCTGAGATGGTTCTACACCTTCATTTGAG